GAAACCCCAGTGAGCCTATCTCAGACAGGAGAATTCCCCCACCCTCGCTCACTCAGGTCTGGTAATTCATTCAGGTGTGGCCTCTCACTTACGATCAAATCAAGGCTGATCATGTCATGGATGAGGATGCATTTATTACAAACAGAATTGGCACACGTTCACATCATCTTGAGCACAGGTTCTCAACAACCCATCTAACCTGCCTCTTGAGTTGAGATTTGGAGCCTGGAAGCAGAAAATGGCTGCAAATCTCTTTCCCCAGCATGGTCCTCGACCTACGACAATAGTAGAATCTGTCCATTATTGGAGTGTTTTTGCTGAAAATCATAAACACAAAGTTTGGCAAAAACTTTGTAACTCATATAACCATGGGATGCTGCAAATTGCCATAAATACAGGGTGGTTGCCAAGGACCCAGAATATGGTCACAAGGCTATGAGGGGGGCCATGACTGTTAGAACTTCAAAACTGGGTCATAAGTACTTTTCGCTGTCATAACTTCAAGGGGTTCCTAAGCATTGGCTACCAGTAAAAATCCACCTGTCTTATTGCACGCTTCCCTTTGCCCATCACAATTTTTCCTTTCCTCCTTCCAATATCCCTCCTCAACCTACCTAACCAACTCGCTGAAAAAAGGAGACAAGAATATGACACTGCTGGAACTACATCCTCTTTTGATCCAACAGAGATCCCTCAACATTGCTTGTGACTCACGCTGAGGGAAGTGTTAGTGACAAGACTGTAATTTCTATTCTTGTCTCTCTTTCCCCAATTGTCCTGAAGCAATATCCCACATTGCCTGACAAGTTTGCAGACAAACTTCTCGTTAAATAAAGAAACAAACAACAAAATGGCAGGATGCTAAAACATCTTAGCAGTTCTATTTTCACTTTAACTGAGAATTAAAGAAGGCTACATGCGGGCAAGTGAAGACTTTCCTGATCAGTCCAATGAAAAATTAGATCTGCTTTATCCTATTAGTAAGAAATTGCTATATCTTCATGTTATCTTTCACAAGAGGTGCCTTTAGCCTGACTCTTGCAACAGCAAGCCTCGAAATGGAAGTGTACAACACAATATCAGTAAATCATATAATCATTTTTATAAGATCCCAGTCTAGGATAGGTTTAATACAGGGAATGTACGAATGTCAATTTCAAGTCAGAACAGTTTCATAGTTCTTCTTTCTAAGCAAATTAATTTGGAGAATGATGCAGATTAAAAAGCTAGGGAAACAGAACTTACAACTAAGCTTAATTCTGATATATACCTCCCCAGCTTCCCTTTGCCTGACCTTAAAAGCTTATTTCTGATTAGGGCTACCAGCTCCAGGAGGCAAAAATATAGATTAAAAGTTAGAGTTTTCCATATATCTTTGCTGCCATCTTATAGTCATCCAGATTACTCAGTCACTAAATGATTCAGTCACTAAAAGAGGATTATCTGTATAGAAATCACTGTTTTAGGTTGTACATGATTCTGCCTGACAAACACCTTAGTGAACTTCATTCATTTTCCAGATTCTCTTCAATGGAAACTAAAATGATGAAAAATACTTTAATTACTAAACTCTTTTCCCACTGAAATCTACTCAGAATACATGCAATTAACCACAAGTAGACAAATACAGATCAAAATATAAGGATAGGTCTGTGGAAAAATGTACAAGACTGGCCAAGAGATTTCTATTTTGTATATTTTAAGAGTAGTAATAACAAAAAGGTGTTTTTTCCCACATTAAACTAGAAATTAAAAATGCAGAAATTAAAAAGAGGAAACAGAAGTGGGCTTTGGGGTTGCACAATAAAATAAATTATGGTAGATCATGAGCTCAGAAGCATTTTATTACTTACTTAACTAGACAGCCCATGAGGGATTGGGTCATCGGTTCAGAGAAATTTCCTTAAAACAACGGTAGTGGGCGCAATTTCCAATTTCCTGCCAGCTTCTCCATTGATGTTCTTTGTAGGAGGCTGGTAGAAAGTTCTAGAAATGATGATTACATGACCATGGCTGGCCTCAGCAACGCAGCGGGTGGCAGCATTGAAAGAGGTACAACTTTACCAAATTTCAATCCAATGGGAATTGTTTTTTCTAGATTTGGGGCACATTTCTCAGCCCATTTGAGGTACATTGATTCAAAAATTGCTGCCCTCTACGATGTGCTACTTTGCTCAATTGAACATTACAATGAAACAAGCAGAAGAGTTTTAACTGTGTGTAAATGGTAATTGTATGCCTTTTTTAAAATAAAAAGCCTTTTATTTTATTTTTAGTTTTACATATCTCTTTATATGAGCAACATGTTTCCAGATTATAACAGTTGTACATAGTCATACTTTCATTTCCATTTTTCTTATATAATATCATCACACATCATTATCCATTTCATTCATCTTTAAAAAAAATTGCATTTCATATTTCAATTCATTAATTCATATCAATCTCATTTCATCCACACATAAGTTTTCAATTCTTTATCACCTATTATTTCCATTTTCAGCTTACCACCTATTTTATTTTAGATTACATATCATTATCATCCTTAATTTTTTCTAAGCCGGTATATAATAAACAATCTAAAAAGAGTAAAAATAAAATAAAGCCGATATATTTAGAATCCACATGATGTTTTTCATTCCCCTACTTCAATCATAATAAAATACTCTCATGATACACTTCTAATATCCATTAAATAATCAACTGTATGTTTTGAAATGTATATATTGTAAAGTATCCCCCCACAGTAAATCACTAAAATAACTGAATATATCTCATTTTAACTTCACTTTACTTATAATCATTAATAATCATATTTTTTAATTCATTTCCATTCTCGTTTTTAATCAAAGGGTTCATAACAGCATAATTCATATACAATTCATATATGGTATTCAGCTTTGTTCGGGTATTTTCCCACGTCATTATAGTTGTGCTTTCAAAGTTGTAGCAATGTTTC